CTCCTACTTGTAGAGGGCGCCACCTACATATGCTTTAACTGGTTTGAAGAGTAATAACTTTTCATCCATACCTGTATAAAACTACTGAGTAAAGAAATATACATTCACAACTTTTTTTACATAAAAAAGGTCTCTTGGTAAAAATCGCTACAAGTAATGGTTCTCGAGATATTTGAAATTGAAATTATCAATACCTGTCATCATTGACAAATTAAACATGCGTTGACCAAATAGTTATTAGACTGAAATCTTAAATTTGAAATCTTTTTGTGTCAAAAGTTCAACAGAAACTGTTTAATCATCATTTTTTCGCAGAAAAATTTATGATTAATTTAAAAAAATAAAAATGTATTATTTCAGTCAAATAACTATATTCAACGCGTGTGCTTATTTTTTGTCAATAATGTATTGACCATTTCCATTTTAAATATCTTGAGAACGGTTTCTTGTAGGGATTTTTACCAAGAGACATTTTTTATGTAAAAAGTCATGGAAATGTATATTTTTTTAGTCAGTAGTTTTATACAGGTACCGTCGAAAAGTTATTACTCTACAAAACAGTCAAAACGCATGTAACAACGCCCCCTACAAATAGGAGTCATTTTGACATCAAAATCAAATTACTCGTATCACAAAACTCCGAGACACCATTTGATCCAGATATTGACGTTACTTCAGAAAAAATCGAAATAAAAATGAAACTTCTACACCCTGTATCTCCGAAACTAAGCATTTTAGGACATACATTTATACGAACTTTTTTACTTATTTTTATCTGCAGAATATGCTGCCGAAGTTTCCGAAATACAGTTCGGACCACCCTGTATAAACAGTTATTATTTACATCAACAAAACTCACCTCCAAGTGTCAGTTGCAAGTCAAAAGGCGTAAAGGGCCATTATTACCGCTTTCCCGTTCAAAATACTCTAATAAGGTTGCAATGAGTTTTTTTGTAACCGCTGTTAAGCTACTTTGCCATCTTGTACAGGGTGAGTCAACGATAGAGCGATTGTCCATTATCTCATTTGTTTCGAGGTTTACAAAAAAAAAAATATATAAAAGTTGTAGGGAAGATTAAGATACACATTTTAAAATTATTATAGAGTATACAAGGTGCTTCAAAAAAGTATGGCGGATATAACATATGTTTTTTTTAAATGCAACACCCTATTTTTTATTTTATTTTTAGATTCTGCGTAAAATTCCATAACTTTTTTACATATAATGTTATATAACTAAAGTTAATAGTTTTTGTAATATTTCAATTTGTTTAAACAAATGTTAAATTGCAGTGTGGTAAAAAATTGTCATTGTTTCTGAAGTTGGCCATTGTTTCTGAAGTTGGAGTACCAAAAAGTTGGTAGGAGAGTTTTATAGAGATGAGAAAAATTATATATAAAAAGATATTTTAGTTAAATGATACAGGGTGTAAAATATATTTATGAATTTCAACTACTTAAAATTAAAAAATCTCAAATTTTTTAAATGGGACACCTTATATATTATCATTTTTTCTGATAGATTTTACAAAACTCTTCAACTTTTATTAAGTATGTTATATACCTATTTTTAATAGTTTGCGATTTATTCCAATTTTTTCTATTTTTACCCATATTTTTAATACAATTACCCTATAAAATCATAGTTACCATGACAAAACAAACTATTTATTACTTATCTTTAACAAGTAGCTTAATAATTAGTTACAATTGCTGGTATTAGTTAAAATTAATTAACTTTATTCAAATAAACTAAAATCACAGTCGTGAATTTCTTGGTGTATTTATTCCTATATTATGTAAGAGGAGACTTGAACTTTCCGGCGCGCGTCGCGTCGGGCCGAATAGCCACAGATTAAGGTAATACTAGATTATCTAATTGTTGAAGACTACTGATATATGAATTTTCTTCGACATACAGTAAAGTTTTTTGCTCGTAGTAATTCTGGTTTATAATTCATTTGGTAAAGCCAATATTACTACTGCCGCGAAACCGTCTCATTACACACTGAAGATGTTTTCTAGATAATCTACATCTATTTTTATACTACTTAGCAAAGTACTCTATAATATATAGTACTGAACTAAAAAATATATTTTTCTTGGCTTGTTTGTGTATATCAGTCACTTTGACTAATTCATTTAGGGAAAATCTGTAACTATTATCTCTACAATTTATACTTATTACAAAAAATTAAACGTTATGATGTTATAGCGTAATTGTATTAAAAATAAGGGTAAAATAGAAAAAATTGGAATAAATCGCAAACTATTAAAAATAGGTATATGACATACTTAATAAAAGTTGAAGAGTTTTGTAAAATATATCAGAAAAAATGATAATATATAGGGTGTCCCATTTAAAAAATTTGAAATTTCTTAATTTTAAGTATGTAGTTGAAATTCATAAATATATTTTGAACGCCCTGTAGCATCTAACTAAAATATCTTGACATAGGTCTTTTTCTATATCTCTATAAAATTCTCCTACCAAATTTTAGTTCTCCAACTTCAGAAACAATGCCATCACTGACAATTTTTTATCGCACTGCAATCTAACATTTGTTTAAACAAATTTAAATATTACAAAAACTATTAATTTTAGGTATATAACATTATACAGTGTGTCAATTTTAAAACTTCCCACCCTTAATATCATTCTTGCAGTTAAAAATATGAAAAATCGGAAAGACACGTCAATTTTATTAGTAAGGGGGACACTCTAAATGAATATTTTTGGTCTTTTTCTTTCAACCTCTTAGGAGGGGTAGATGTCACCCTTGCAATCTTAAATGGGAATGGGGGTCAAGTGGCACATCGTTTTAAAGGACATTTAATTCTCTTTTCAGCGATATCCTACTTTGTTGCTTTTTGTCTAGAGATTTAGAAGATTAGGTGGCAACATGGACCATTACATTTTTTAGGGGGTCAAAATTCGAAATACTAATAAACAGAAAACATCATAAACATTAACGTTTTCTTTCTCAAATTCGAATGCAACCTCTAATCAGTTTCACAGGAGGAATTGTTAACATTCCAGCAGGACGGTGCTCCAGTTCGTTATTTTTTTCCGGTCCGACAGTGGTTAAACGAGAGATTTGCAGGTACATGGATTGGCAGAAGGGGACCAATTGAATGGCTTTCAAGATCACTTGACTTTTTTTTTTGGGGGGGGGGGGATATGTTAAATCCATTGCTTATAAAACACAATCTACTGATATTGATTATCTTAAAAGGCGAATTACAGCAGAATGCCAGTCAAATCCCGGTGAAATTTTCCGAAATGTTAGGGAGGTGTTTGAAAACAGACTTTATTACTGTTTACGGGAAAATGGACAACATTTTGAACAACTTATAAGATAGGGCGTAAGTGGTGTAACCTAATCTTCTAATCATTTGTACTACAAGGAGATCATTGCAATAACTTTTGTGTAAACACTAACCTGAAAACCAAAATCTGGCACGTTTAATTGTTTCTGCACCTTTGAAACGCGATTATTCGGAAACCTCTGGATAAAAAGCAATAAAGTAGGATACCACTGAAAAGAGAATTAAACACCCTTTAAAACGATGTGCCACTTGATACCCATTCCCATTTAACAATTGTAAAGGTGATATCTACCCCTCTGGGCAACGGCCTAACTACGTCGAAACACCGGTTCCCATTAGAACACCGAAGTTAAGCGACGTAAGGCGATGCTAGTGGATGGACGGGTGACCGGTTCGAAACTTTGCATCGTGCTGTTGTCCAAAAAAGGGAAAAGTTTAAAATCTACTGATACACACTGCTCATTCACGCCGGTTCAAGGGCGGATGAGATCGGATATCTCGTGAGAAAGAGTTAATTTAGACACTTCCTAAGTCGGTAGGCCATTGGAGGACCGCGGTTCGGATTCCGCGTAAACAAGTAGGTCCCGTCCAGTTTAGCCATTGCAGCAGAAAGGAGACGTTAACTTGAACCTCACACATCTACCCCTTTTAGGGGGTTGAAAAAAAAAGGCTAAAAATATTCATTTTAAGTGTCCCACTTACAAATAAAATTGACGTGTCTTTCCAATTTTTCATATTTTTAACTGCAAGAAAGATATTAAAGGTGGGAAGTTTTAAAATTGACACACTGTATATAAAAAAGTTATGGAATTGTACGCAGAATCTAAAAATTAAATAAAAAATAGGGTATTCCATTTAAAAAAACATGTTATATTCGCCACACTTTTTTGGAGCACCCTGTATACTATATAACAATTTTAAAATGTGTACCTTAACCGTCCCTATAGCTTTTATATTTAATATTTTTTTGTAAACCCTGAAACAAATGAGATAATGGACTTTACTCTATCGTTGACTCACCCTGTACACTTCGCACTACAAACGCAAAAGAACAATTTTCGATTGCAAGTTCTGCTGGTAAAAAAATTTAAGCACGCAATTATACAACACAATTCACTTAAACCAAAACTCGTAATACAAAACTAAAGTGTCAACACGAATGAAAATGTCCAGAAATAAATAAATATATGTGACAACTTGACATTTTTAACAACAGAGCTACCCCCTGAATCGCCAGCAAGAATATATCCATGGTTGGCAACAATGAATTTAATAATAGCGCCCTCGATGACGTAACTAAAAGTCTAGTTGGTTTCGATAGTAGGTATGTATAATATGAATACTCTCATAAAACAATAAAAAATAAATAATCGTATTGGCTTGATCTTACTATTGCATAAATTCAAAATAGCTTTATTTTTGATCGGCGTCTAAAGTGTGTGAAGCTGAAGTGGTACAGACATTTAATTTAGTAAGAGTTATGATGCTTGAGGGGTGTTAAAAAGCACAATGAATGCGTATGAAAACAGTTTGATATGGTATTCATTCCTCAAATTAAACCATACAATAAATATTTTTATAACTGAATTACTTTATGTTTATATGTTTTATTGAGTACTATTTGTTTTCTAATATTTTAAATTGTGAAGGACAATATTTGATTACGTTACCTATGTTTGGATGTTGAAGCTTCCTACAAATTCGGGCCTCGCGTTCTAATTTCTGGAAATCTGAAATACAAAAATTTATATTAAAAGCAAAATACATGAGTTTTTAAAATTTGTTTAAACGTTAGATGTATACGAGGCCTGTCAACATATATCAAATGTCAAAATTAACTGTTATCTTTAGTTAACTTAACGCCAAAGTTTAAGACCCCCTTGTCACTAAAGTTTGAATAAAATTTGATCAAATTTAGGGCTTTGAATTGCTCAATTTGTCTTACAATGTATACAGGGTCTTTCAAAAAATATTCGTAGCTACAGGGTGTTAAAGTTATTATAATTTTCTTTAAGTACTTTTAGTGATTCGAATGAAATTTTGAGGGTAAAAGTTACTATAAGTGCAACATATTTTATTGCTGAAAAAGTGTCGAAAAATTCATCAGGGACGTGCATATGAGTTATCAATGAAATATTTAAAAAAAGCATGTGCGCCACTGACTTTTATCTTTTAATGTCAAAATTGTGTAGGCCGTTTACTGGCAATTAAAATCTCTTGATATTTTGTCGAAATCGGCCTCCTTGATGAGATAAACGCAATTTTATTAATCACAATTAAATATATATGTATGTTTAATAATAATTTATTATTAAATATTTTTACTATTAGTTATTATTACTATTAGTCCAACCTACAGCAATTTCAAATAAAAAAATAATAGTATTTAAAATAATAATTACAAAAAAACTAATTTCGAAAATTTTTAACATCCTGTAAATCTAAAACTATGCATTTCCATACCCATGTTTATAGGAACTTTTTTACATATTTTTTGATGAGGAATCAATGTGTACTTATTTAAAACTTTTGCAAGTTAATGATATTATTTTTTTAAAGGTTGCTATTAGACTTGGACTAAGGCAAATTAATAAGATTACATTTATCTTATCAAGGAGGTCGAAATCGACAAAATATCAAGAGACAACTTTTAATCGGCATTAAACTGCTTACACTATTTCGCTAACAAGAGAAAAAAACCAGTGGCGTACATGCTTTTTTTAGAAAAATATTCCTGTAATAACCCCTATGCACGTCCCTGGTGAATATGTCGACACTTTTTTAGCTTTAAAATATGTCGCATTTATGGTAACTTTTACACTCAAAATTTCATTCGAAACGCTAGAAGTACTTGGAAGAAAATCATAAAAAATTGAAAAAGATATTAAGACTTTAACACATTGTAGCTACGAAACAAAGCAGAATCGGACCTATGTTGATATGAAAAATTAATCTTATTTTTACATGAGGAATCTCGCCGCGAGAGATGGCACATGTTTTTTGAAACAACCTGTATATCTTTATACAGTCTCTAATTTATCCACTGGAAGTGAGATGTATCAACAAAATGCCGTTTTCAATCGATTATGAATTAATTTTCATTTTTTCGAATTTATGGTGTGCAAAAAAAATGTTTGTTAAAAAATATACAGATGTTTATTTTTATATTGGCTAGAATTTACATTTTTATTTATATTTTATGTTTTTTGTTATGCTACAAAGTTCGATTTACCTTGCATGCAGATACATTATTACCTACCGTATTGGAATACAAAATACCAAATTGAATTATATTTTTTTTTAAGTCAGAAATAATATTGCTGTTGATGTATTTTATAACCAAAATTCCTCGTGAACTGTAAATAAATATTCAAATGCATCGAACAAAAGCATCCATCCGAAAATTTTAGCACTGTTGGATGGAATCCTGATATAAAAAATATAGGACGGTATATTTATTTCAAATATATAAATTTTTGTTTGGATCATTATTAAAAAACAGGAATTTAATCGTTTTATAATTCAAATTACACACTTATTCAGTATTGAAATGCCTATATAAACATTAATAAAGTTTAATATATCACTGAATGAAACACGTGTGTTAAGTTAACACCACCACTTTAAAAAAATGTATGAAACTATGCGGAATAATTGCCATAAATAAGCAGTGAGAACGGAAAATTTGCCGCTCTTCGCTAAATATGTGTGTGTTTAGTGACTTACGCACCATTAAATCTTGGTGCTATTCTAATCTCCTATGCCTCAACCCATCAAAAACTAAAGTTTTGTCATATAAAAGTACCATACAACCTTTTGTACTTAATAACACCACTATTGACGTCGTGGACTCTGTGAAATTCTTAGAACTTGTAGACAACTCGTTAAAATGGGACTTTCACATCGAAGCTCTATCAAAGAAACTAAGCGCTGCCTGTTTTGCGCTAAGATCAGTTTCTAAGGAACTTAACTTATCACCCTCTAGAATAGCCTATTATGCCCTTTTTGAGTCACATCTTCGTTTGTCCTTCCATTCTGGGGTACTTGCTGCGCAACAAAATTTGATCGTATTTTCAGACTTCAAAAGAGAGCAGTTCGATATTTATTGGGACTAAACAGTAGAACTCACTGCGAGAATTTCTTTAAAAATTTCAAAATACTGACACTTCCTTCTTTATTAATTTTTGAATCCGTTTGCTTAATCCGCAAGCACATACATATCTGCTATTCCCGAAAGGTCATCTCATAACTATCCACTTAGGAATGCGGAGCACGATCTTTATCTACCAACCCCGAGCTCAGAACTAGTTAAAGGTTCAATACTGTACAATGCGAAAAAAATGTACAATCATCTGCCTTTGAATATCATATCGCTTTCATTCTTTCCCGCATTTCGCAAAGCTCAGAGATTATACTTACTGGAGAGAGCCCTATATGCGGTAAACGACTTTTTTGTTGATGTTTAATCATGAACAATTTTGAATTTTATAACTTTGATCATCTCACACACTGGTCAAAGGTCAAGTATTTAATATTTTGTAACTCTTAAAATTATATCTATTTATAATCTTTCAATTGTAAAATTTTATTGATACGCCTTTTTTTGTGTTCTGCAATTGTCTATGTATGTTCTATTTGTAATTTTAATGATTTAATTTTTTTTGAATTGTATGATTTGTATTGTATATTTTTTATTATTTGTATATTTTTTGTGCTTTTGTTTGTTTTGTAAATTATAATATTTACAAAACTAATAATAATAACTAATAATTAATTATAACAATATTTTGGCTTTTTGCACAATAAAGCGTTATTTGTTGTTTGTATGTTACACCAATGGTTTTTCTAACTTAATATTAAATTAGTACAACCACCATTGAAAATCAGTGAAAGAACATAGTTTTTTTAGGATTTTACAGTACAGGGTGGCGCCCCTCATACGACGCGGAGGCTCCAAGGAGAACGGGAGTTTATATCGAAATGAAATTTTGGGAGCACATGTAGGTTAGTTGAAAGCATTTTATAAAAATATACATATTCTACAGCGTATCCCCAAAAAAAGTTAGGCATCAAAGTTGGTTTTTTTGTAATGGAACACCCTATATATTAATTGATTTTCGGATTCTAGGAAAAAAATAAAGGTGAGTTTCATTAAAGAAGCATATGCCTAAATTGTAAGGATTGTGACATTTTGTGAAAATGTAGAATACATTTTAAATTTCAATAACAGCTATCTAAATTGTAATTTACCCTATATAACCTGATATTTAATTACAATAACCATTGTATGTTAAACCAAATTAAAATTTGTGCCGAAAAGTTATACAGGGTGAGACAAAATTAATACAGGACATTGGCCACTCTTAAAAGCAAGTTACTCGTTTATTTTAAACGGAACACCCAGTATATTATACTGGTATTCGATGGAAAATTCATATATCTTTACAATACTACTGGTTCCTTACCCCTCAGACAAAGATTTTTCTAGATATTTTCATTTTTATGATTTTGCCTAAGTAGATCTTTGCCATTTGATAAAATCTATGTGGCTGTGATATATTTTTTCATAATTTAACAAAAATTAAAGGATGTAGAGTAAAATACTCAACGGTACTAAAAAGATACACATTTTAAACATATTTTAATTATTACATAATTAAAACTAGATATAAGCGTATAATTATGACACAAAAATTAGCTGGATGAAATAAAATGACCAATATGTTTCCTTTCCTGTTCACTGCATAAAATGATTCTATTTTCAAAAGACTTTTTAAAAGGCATATGTGAAGTTCTACTTCGGAAAGCAATCACAATCATTTCTCCCATGTTGTCGACAATAGTTGGTCGAGTTTTGTAAACACTGTCTTTAATATACCCCAATAAAAAAAACTCAGGACTAGATAAATTAGGAACATTTTATACGTATAACTTTTTTTATTTTTTCAGATAGAAAGCAATATTTGGTATGTGAGTATAAGACATACTCACATACCAAATCAGGATTGATTGGCGTATTCAATTAGTTTCAATTACTTCCTGTTTCCCGGAAATTACTACAGCTTTTGATTTTTAATGGTACCCTCTAAGAGCTGACGACATGTTTAGAGTGTTCAGAGAACATATTTTAGGCAAGTTAGAATAACAAAATTAGTTATAAATTACATACGCAAAATTTAAAAATAATCATACAGAAAGTTAGGGCTTTTTGGTTTTACCTTATTAAGTAATTGTTATCAGGTAGTAATTGTTAATTTTGAAGTTTAACTTAATATAATGTCATTTTAACAGAACGTCAACGATTTCTTGTAGACGTATCTGTTTTAAAAAGTAAAGTGTTCTCGAATAGTTCAATTTAAATATTTCAAATTGTTTTTTCCTTGATTCTTTATATTTTTTTGCTTCCGACGACGGAAAGAGAAAACTTTGCGAAACGTTAAGCATTTTTTTCTTTGTTAGGCAAATTTTTATTACTGTAAACACAACTTCTGACAAGCAGCGTCCGTTTAGGTTTAACGCAGAAGTATTTACAAAAAATAACTATTTTATTTTGTAGATTTGTTCTTGCAGTGCAGTGGCGAAATACCCATAAAGGATTTTTTTGGTTAGTTGACATTGTAACGGAACAAAAATCTCCTGATTGACTAAAGAATGTTGGTACGATATTTTCATGCAAAGAACTTGAAATAATATCAATGAAATTCAAATACATATATAACTTTAAATAAAA